ACCACTAACGGAATCCCCCTGTCCCCCCCTCGCCCCGCCCCCACTCGTCGCCACCCCACTACTAAGGACCCCCCCACCCCTGCCCCCCCACTGTGCCACCCATCGTACGGACCCCCCCCCACCCTTCTGTGCCACCCACATACGGACCCCCCATCCTGCACCCCCGCTGTGCCACCTACATACGGCACCCCTTCTGTGCCACTCACATAAGGACTCCCCTGCTGCCCCACTGTGCCACTCCTGTACTGACCCCACACCCTGCCCCCACTGTGCCGCTCATGCATGTACCCCTCTGCCCCCCCGTGCCACCCACATATGGACCCCCCACCTTACCCCCCACTCTGCCACCCATGTATGGACCACCCACCATCCGCTTCCCTCATTGTGCCACCCAGGTATGGACCCTGCCAACTGCCCCACCCTGCTACTCTCCTCCCAGTAGCAGCTCCTGCACCCCGACCCCAACGACCCACTGCTCCGTTACCTCACCCCGCCCTTCCCCCCACCTTGTCCCTCACTGGCTCCACCGGGCCCCCCGCAACCTCCCAGCCACCCTCCTGCCCTTGTCTCCTGAGTCCTCCAGCCCCTCCCCTTCAAGATCCTCGACCCCATTCCTCACTGCCCCTCCCCCAGCTCCCCTCCCTGTGACTTGCCCCTACCCCAGACCTCTCACCCCGTCTGCCCCACACCCCATCTGACAGTCGCTCCATCTTCCCAGGGCCTCAGTCGCTCCCACTCTCCTGTTTCCGGGCCCAGCGGAGCTGTGACAAGGACTTGCTGCCTCTGAGCACAGCGCCCCCTGGAGGTGAGGGGGCAGGAGGAGGGAGACCTGGGGGGCACTGACAGTGGGGGGTCCCTGAGAGGCTGTCAGTGGGGGAGAACCTAGGGGGCAGGGACAGTGGTAGGGGGACCCTGGGAGGCAGGGACAGCAGGGGCAGGGGGTGCCCCAGGGGCAGGGACAGTGGGGGGGCCAGGGAGGCAGTGCTCCGCCCTGGGCAGAGGCGAGGAGGTGGATATTTTGGTTGTTTCTACTGGGCACTTTGTTATTGTAGGGTCTCCTGAGAGCAGCGGGTCTGGAAAACCCGGGTTGGATGGGCCCATGAGTCTGATTGGGGGGTGGAGGGTGGGAGCCAGCTGGGCTCACTGGGGAGGGACTGGTGGGGAGGGCTGGGCCCAAGGCTGGCACAACCCATTAGATGACCTAGATGGTCGCCTAGGGCGCTAACATTTGGGGGGTGGCGATCGCGGCGGCCAGATCTTCGGCCGCCCCAGTCGTTGTCAGTATTTCGGGGGCGGGACCTTCCGCTGCCTCTGTCGGGGGCGGTATTTCGGGGGCAGGACCTTCCACCGCCTAGGGCGGCAAAAAAGCTGGCGGCGCTCCTGGCTGGGCCCATCTTTGAGCTGTGTCTCTCCTGCTCCTCCCCAGAGCCAGCCACAGCGGCGTCAACCACACTGTACTTGATGTACGGCCCACGGTGCCCCCCACGGGCCCTGCCGGCTGGCGCCTGGAGCTACATCTGCCAGCTGTGCCAGCGGCGGTTCCCCAGCCAGACGGCGCTGCGCAGACACAGCCGCAGCCACATGGGTATGGCCTGCGCCATGAGTGCTCCTGCCCCTCCCCCATCCAACTGGCACCCCACTCCAGACCCATACACCTGCTCTCCCAGCCCTGCCCCCACACCTTGTCCCATCGGTGCCCCTCACTCCCGACTCACAGTCCCTGCCCCCTCAGCCCTGCCCTTCCCCCATCCCACCGGCGCCCCTGAAACCCCTGCTCCCCCAGCCCTGCCCCCGCCTCCATATGTCCAGCCAGTGCCCCTCACTCCTGACCCGCAGCCCCTGCTCTCCCAGCCTCCCCCATCCAGCCGGCGGGCCCCTCACTCCTGACCCACAGCCCCTGCTCTCCCAGCCCCCCCATCCAGCCGGCACCCCTCACTCTCGACCCGCAGGCCTGACCCGGTGCCATCCCTGCAGGCCAGCGGCTGTTGGAGCGGGAGTTCTGTGCCCGTGGGTTCCAGGCCGAGGCCAGGCTGCAGGGGCCCCGGCGGGCATCCCCAGGCGAGAAGCCCTACGAGTGCGGCGAGTGCAGCAAGCGCTTCACCCTCAAGCACCAGATGGAGACGCACTATCGGGTGCACACTGGTGAGTGGGACCCCCCCTGCCACAGCGCCAGACCCCCCCCCCCCGTCGCGGGGTACCCCTCCCCCACTGGCATCAGTCCTCCCAGTGCCGTGTGCCCCTACCCAATGGATGTCAGCCCTCCTCAGTGCTGTGTGCCCCTCCCTCATGGGCATCATCTCCCCCCCCGCCAGTGCCGTGTGCCCCTCCCCCACTGGCATCAGCCCTCCCAGTGCCATGTGCCCCTCCCGCAGGGCCCTCAGCCCCTGGTGCTCCACATACCTGCCTTGTGCCCCTGCAGGCTGGGGTGTTGCTCCCACACCGTCGCCCCCAGCCCTCCTCCCACTGGGAGTTGGGGGCACTCTGGTCTCCCCGTCTCCCTGGGTCCTGGGGGGGCAGCCCTAGCTTCTCCCGCCCCCAACCCTGCCATGGCTCTAATCCCTGTGCCCCAGGAAAGCGAAGCTGGGTCTGGGAGGGAGGGGCGGGATAGGGCTGGGGGAGGGGTGGGAAGCCAGGGCAGGAGAGGGTGCGGGAGGGGCTGGGGATACCCCTTCTCACAGCCCGTTGCCCCCTGCAGGCGAGAAGCCGTTCCAGTGCAAGCTCTGCCCCCAGCGCTCCCGCGACTACTCCGCCATGATCAAGCACCTGCGGACCCATGGTGGCGCCGCCCCTTATCGCTGCACCCTATGCTGCCAATTCTGCCCCAGCCTGGCCGCCATGCAGAAGCACATGAAGGGCCATTGTCCCGAGGAGCTGCCCTCGGACTGGACGATCGAGACCACCTATCTCTACTCCTCCTCCACCTCCTCCTGAGCCGCCTGTGCTAGTGCAGGCACCGGGGGACTCATGCGTGGCACGGGGAGGGCGCGGGGACCAGCGTCGGCGTGGCAGACGGATCTGCGATGGAGCGCGGCACGGGGAGGGCGCGGGGACCAGCGTTGGCGTGGCAGACGGATCTGCGATGGAGCGCGGCACGGGGAGGGCGCGGGGACCAGCGTTGGTGTGGCAGTGCCTGACATGGGGAGAGGGCACAGCTGGCCATGGCTGGACCCGCAGAACACAGATCTGTGGCTCGCTTTCCTGCCCGTCACACACAGCACGCCGGGAGCGCCGCCCGCTGGCTGGGAGTCATGCGTGTGGCAAGGGCACCATGGCCAGCTAGGTACTAAGGGCATGAACCCTGCCACAGGCCAGAGATGAGAATTCACATGGAGTAGATCGGTCCCTGCTGTTTCCAGCTCACCCTGTAGGGGGTGCCGTATGTGTGGGGCCCCAACCTCTACCATCACCCTCAATGTGGGGATGGGGAGCCCCCAGTTATTGTGGGGCCTGGGGGGTGTTAGGTGAACCCAGATCTGCGGGGACTCCTGCTGCTCAGTAGCTAACTGGGGGAGGGGGCATCTGTCATTAGCTTGGCAGGATCCCCTGCTCTACTTGGGCTCCCTGCCCCACATGGCCAGCAGAGAGCTGAGACTGGAGGGGAGGGATTCTGCCAGCCCCGGGCTGCAATGTCCCGGAGTCACAAGTGGCTGGGGAAGGGCCTGCCTTGATCACCGTGGGTCACTCATTACCCGGCAGCGGAGTGGGACTCATTAGCCCGCAGGAATCCAGGCGACACTAAACTGTCCAGAGCCGCAAGCAGAGAACTGGGAAGCTCCCGGGGGGCGGGGGGTAAGAACTGGCACCAGGGTCAGGGACTGGAGAACTGGGGTGCGGGGAGGAATAGCTGGGGTTCATACGGCAATGCCCCTTCTATTCTGCCCCCGCACCCCTTGCTCTCACTCCCCCTTGGCCTGCTTTGACTCCCCTGTCCCTGTGGGTGCTGCACAGACCCCTCAACAAGACTGGGGTTCCCATTGCCCTGGGCGCTGCACAGACCCCCCCCATCACACTGGGCGCTGCACAAACACTGAGTCAGAGACGCTCCCTACCCCAAAGACCTTCCCGATCTGGACAGGCAGAGTATCCCATTACACGGCTGGGGAAACCGAGGCTCAACGAGCCACAGCAACCGGAGTGCCTCACCTGCCACTCCTTCATGTCCTGCCCTCGGCCTGGCTTTGCCAGCTGTGTTCCGGGGCTGATGGCCATCGCGTGTTGCGTCCCATCTCTTGCCCCTTTGTGGCCAGGCCCCACAAGCCGTCTGTGGGGTGGGGGCAGGGATCACATTTCCTATTAAACATCTCAGGAATACTGAAGGTCTCTGTTATTATCTGTTGATCACAAAAGTTCTGTCCCACCCCTGCCTGCAGGACCCTCTGCGGCGGCACTTTGGACACGGGGCCTTTTCCCCCGGAAGCACCCAGCTCCAGGAGTCTCATGACTGCAGAGAATCTCACAAATCCATTCAGAGATCACTTCTCACCCACCAGGCAGTGGGGAATAGGAGCTGAGAAAGACGCCCCATGGGGTCTCTGCTGTGTTTGTCCAGCACCCCCCACAGGCTGGTTAAAAGGGGCATTTGTCATTTGTAGTGCATGACGTCTCCAGTAAAAGTAGGGTTAACATACATCCGGTTTCTCCTGGACATGTCCGGCTTTTTGGTAATCAAACCGCCATCTGGGGGGAATTGCCATAAAGCCGAACATGTCCGGGAAAATACCGGCCAGGCACTTCCCCTCCCGCGGCTGCTCTGCTCCTCCCCTGACTCTTTGGCTCTGTTTAAGAGCTGAGCTGCCCGAAGCCGGTAGCGCTTGGGCAGCTTGGCTCTTAAACAGAGCCGAAGAGTCAGGGGAGGAGCAGAGCAGCTGGAGCCTGGGAGGGGAAGTGCCTGGCTGGGGGTGCAGGGTCCGGAGGCATGGGGGCTGCCCGAAGGCCGAGCGCTACCGGCTTCATGGTTTGCTGGGCAGCCTT